TGGCCAGCACAGGAAACAACCTTGAAGCTTGGGAATCCTGGGGGAGCTTTATTCTCTTACCTTTGGTTAGTAGGGAATGGAAGAATGGTAGTAGTAGTTTTTTCATACCTCATTCCTCCATTCCCTATTAAGCAAAGGTAAGCGTGCTTGTCACATAGTCATCGCCTTCCCACTTGTGCTTCATGCTTCTGCCTGTCCCCCCACCCCTGCCACTTCGACCTCGATTTACACACAGGCAGGGGGAGGCTCGTCTTCCCTACAGGTTCAGACAGACCGCGACCTTTATCCAAAGAACTGCCATAATATCTGAATTCATGATGTTTCGGCAGTTTTTGAACCTTCATCTTGACGAAACTATGCCTAGCATACTGCTTGGATGCGAAGCTGTTTGAGCATCCTGTCCTCTATCTTGATGGATCTGCCTTAGCAGCCCTGGACCCAACACCCCAAACCCCGAACCCAAAACCCTGAGCTAAAGGTTCATCGGTTTATCGAGCGGATTGTGCACCAGCCCCCTTGGCTTCATAGAGAGAACTGTGCCGTTTAGGGTTTAGGATTTGGGTTTTAGGGTGGACTTTGAGATCTCCGGCTTCGGATCGCCGAATCAGACAGAGAAGGCATTTCAGTATGCAGGCTGGACTGAGACTCAGAAACGGCAATGAAGACTAGGGTTCTGAAGGTATGGCTGTGAGGGATGGCAACATAGGATGTTAGGCGCTGGCAAGGTTGGGTTTCGGGGAGCGAGAGAACAACAGCAGAGGGCTGGCAAACGTTGATTGAGACTTTCCCTCCTCAATTTTGGAATTCTTCACTCTACGACGCCTGCAGACAGCGTCCCCTTTCCCCCCCCCCCCCCGTCATGCGGCTCCCAAGCTCAGTAAGGCACCTCCCACCACAACAGAATCAACAACTTACATTCGCCCCCCAAACGCTGCGAGGATGCCAAATCAAGCTACAAGAATTGTCAACAACATTTATCTCATGCATCAGCGAGCGACCGATCCCTAAGCACTAAGCATGTAATACTGTATACCGGATCGCACAAACTGGATGCAACTCCATATTGGTGTTTAGACCGTTTAGGTGTGCAGCTGCACATGTTCATGCATACAGCATACATGCATCCGAGCATCCATGCATCCACGCATCCCTGCATGCATGCTCTCGTTCGTTGGTCGATCGTTGTTTTGTTCTCCAGCATGTTAGATATCGAGGGCCGTAAAAAACCATGCATGCATTCGTGCGTGCTTGCACACGTGCATGCATACATACATAGAGACATATATGGTTCAAGGCGTTGCATAACCTTAAACTCTACTCCAAGAATGGTCGACCGCGCTGTTGACACGGCAGCTGGTCACGGGGCGCGGATGAAGCTCGCAGGCCAGGTGCATTGGCATTTCCGCCCCCAAGCACATATGTAGTGTTGGATTCTTGGGTTTTGGTGGTGCTTTCGGCAGGAGGAGTCAGTCACGCGGCGTCGGAGCTCACGTTGTCTACCTCATGAGCTCCACTGAAAAAGAAGGGCATTTCAGGAGTTAGCCAGAGGAGTGGCTTGTCGAGACCAAAGCCGCCAATGTAGAGACCCAGGGCATCTGAAATCCAGAATCCCAAAGCTTCAACCCTCAAGCTCTCTAAAGAAACTCCCTGAACCCGACCATTGCACCCCGGTAGAGGCTCAAAGACCGATCCCCCTGAACCCTAAACGAGCTTATAGAGCCCTTTTGTGAAGCATGACATCTCCCAATGACGCCAGGCTCTCTCGCGACGGTGACTTCAAAACGAAGAGCCGTCAGACGACTGAGGCGATCTCTGCTAAACTTTTCGGTTGTTCTAATAGCAATCGGTTTGAGAGTCTGAGGGTTCTTTGGTTGTGTACGCCATGGCAACTGTCAGGAACAATAACACTAGGCGTTACTAGCCCAACAAGAAGCAGGTGTTGCTGCTACTGAGGTTCCTGCATTATTTGGAGAATATGCCGTGGGGTCCATACTTTCTGGAATTTACAAGAAGTGTGAGGGCTTCATTCATGTTTTGAGGCGTTGAAGGTAGTGCAGGGGTATAAAGGCTTGCATAGGGCTTAGTTTGTGGGATTTCGGTACAAGGTCCCGGAGCAGTATGGTTTTTCGTGACATTGCTTGTGGCAACTTGAAGCTGCGGCACAGTAGTCTCAATGAGGAACAAGCAGTGGCCGCGTCGGCCGTCAAGCACGCAGTGATGTGCACATTTGGTAGCAGTGTGGCTCCTCCCAGTCTTTGCACACGCAGGAAGACAATCACGACAGCTTGAAAGCTCTAAGCAAACTTGCATGTTATGGTGATGTTGCTTTCTCACGTCGACTTGTTGCTGTATGCTGTCGAGTCAAGGTCTCAGCACAACTCCAGAACAGTACGCAGGCCCGAACCTGGTACCGGCAGGCATCATACATCCCAGTGATATGATTCACGCCCTCTCTGTAGCGATATGCCGAGAAAGAGCTTCAGGCAACATGCTCTCACTCGGCGCACCCTTCGGGCACAGTGCCGTGGAAGCGATTACCATTGGCTCTCGAGAGATCGCAGTTCTAGCTTATAGGCATACAATGTACAGGTCTGGGTAAGTAATAGCAACAGGAATGTCAATAATGCCTTGACAGCCCCTGTGTTCATTTACACTTGTTCTTCATAACATGCCCAATATAACCTCTGTATCAGTGTTTTCATGTTTTGATAATAAACCATAGCCGTCGATTGCCCTTTTTAAGTGTGAAGACTTTTTTTCGGCTTCCTGGGCGCCGGGCCGGATTTAGATGGTTGGGAGCCCTTGCCAAGCACAGACTAAACACGAAAGCTCGCTCCAAAACAAAGAGAGTTTTAAGCCCTTCAAGCCCACACCACCAAAGCCTGGATTTGCTCAAGATGTAGCACCCTGGCTTCCTACGTACATACATACAGACTTTGCATACCATACATACTAATACATACTGTACATTCTATACCTACTGTACACACTATTGCATACGTATATACATGCGTGCACGCATGCATACATACATGAGCCGTGCAATTTCCAGCGGGTTTAGGGTTTGAGCCTCCGTGAACCGAGGCGTCGGGCAGGGCAACTCAGTGCCACGGCGGCACACCTCTCCACGGCCAGCGGAACTCTCCGATCTGTGCAGGCGATATACAGGGTTTTAGGAGGGCCGTTCATGGGCTTTCAAGGTGCTTGTGGTCTTTTTTTTGCAGTCCTCACCACAGTTTCTGTCAATGTAGATTCATCACTATTCATCAGTTTTGCTGCCCGCAATAGTTTTTATAGGAGCACCTTCACCTCTCCTCGAAGCATTAATCATCCTGGCTTCTGTATCAGAGATGTCCACGGGTTTCTTGGTGGGATTTGGGCTTGTGGGTTTAGTGTTCGGGGCTATGGCTTTGTTGTGTAAGAGGGTCTGAAGAGTTTCGTGGTTCTGGAGTGGTAGGATGTCGGGAGGTGCACGGTTTGTTAATGGCTCTGTGGAGCCAGCTTGTAACTTCGGTTCGACAGGCATAGATGCTCCTGTAACCCGAAGCCGCACCCATAATCCTAATCCCTAAGCCAAGCCCAAAGCCCACGCCATCGTCTGACTGACGATAAGCCGTCCTTATGGGACACGGAACTCAGCTGCTACTTTCTGAGATTTGTTCAGCAGTGCATCTGTCGACATATAATACTACCAGCTACCTACCTATCTACCTACCTATCTAGCTATGTTTTTCGCTATACATATACATATACACATATACAAACCCGAGAATTGAGGTTCAAGCTTTAGGAACCATAGTATAAGATGCTCCCGAAACTTCTGAGATGTCAAGGCGTCTCTACAAACTGCGCCCCTGCCGGCACCATGCCCCACAACCCTTGTGGGCGGTTGTCAATATTAGGGTCTCTTTTTGGGTCCCTATTATAATACGGCACCTAATATTTAGTTTTTGGGCCCCTATTATAACACGGCACCTAGTATTTAGGGTATCCAGAAAGGGGCCATAATTTTGACAACTACCCATGTGAAGGTACACAGGCTCCTGGCTTCAAGCGTCTGAACCCAACCCCTCCGGAAGACTAACCCATCGAAGCCTCAAGCCCTTAAAAATGTAGGTTCTGCGGGGTTAAGGTAAGACCTAAGCTCCAAACATTCCAACAAGCCCGCAATAGGACCTCAAGCGCGATATGGGCCCCATGCGGCCTTTGCTGGGTACAGGCTGCTCGGCTGGATTTCGGTAAGCGTCGATGCCACTACCACAATATAGGAGGGTCGGCCTAAATAGTAAGATCATCTCCTCAAAGTCCTTTCTATAACTATGCCATCATGGACTCAAAGCCTACTCTAATTATTGAAGACCCAAATATACGCTAAGCATCAACAACTCCCAAAGCCCGCAAATCCGAAAACAACAAACCCTACAGCCTTATAAACTCCTTCTAAACCTTGTACAGACCTTGTATAATGCCTTCAAAGTACCCTATACATACAGTCTCGTTGCGGGTTCGCCAGCTGTATGGTTGAACAACAATGGCAGGCATACACAAGGTCCGGTTTCGGGGCTCCCTAAGTAGCATGGGAGCCCCTTCGAATTCCTGAGGCCAGAAACCCCAAGTGGGCAAACCTTTTTGAGTGTAGGGTTTGGGGCCCAGACCCTAAACCTCATGATGCATATCTCCTGCATCAGCTGCTTCACCTCTTACAGTCTCCATGACATGGGCGGACGAACTGACTCACTCTTTTCCACACAAACACATTGTCAAACGCTCTGAAGTCTATGCACCTAAATTGTACAAGTATGGTGCAATGTTGCCTTCGCTTAAACGATAAAACTCAGTATGTGTCGTTGACTGCTGTACAACTGACTGGCCCAAGGAGGTCTTCTTTTACGTAGCCTTCTCCTGAGAACCATCGCCAACGATCACACTCGCAGACTGACAAGTGCACATCAACACTCCTCCTCGGCTTCATCGGAAGGTGAACGCTGTACACCTGATTGTCACTTGTCTTTCCACTCATGGATCAGGTTCGATATACGAACCTTGTCGTTTATGTCCTCCCATTTGAGAACATAACGCGCAGAGATTCCACTATGCCGCCACAACCACAAAATGTATCGTAGCTGCCTCTGAGTGGGTCCATACCTCGTAGACATCCTCGTAACCAGCTTTGAAGACAGGCGCCTGGCTAAGTCAACCTTCAAGCCAGAAACTGCCATCCCCTCGTGTCGGAGCCCTTCCTTCAAAGACTCCACCGTGAATAGCTGTAGAACATCTGTTGAAAGCCTCTCGGTTTCGAACTGGCCTCCATTATCCAGCTCAGTAGATCCCATGGTTCCTGGTGACTCCCAGGATAGGTCCGTCGAAGCTCTTGCCGTAGGTCTCGGTGGTGTCCTTGGTTCCCTTGATGCGGTTCCCAATGGCCTTGATGGAAGTGTAGGCTCCTCCTGGCCATGGTTCGTATGTGCCGTTCTGGTCGTCGGGCCTGACGGTGCCGTCCTCGAAGACATGGTAGTCGATTGCTCGCTGGCCTGAATCCTCGCTAGCTCCTGTTCTATAGCCCTGGAGGTTGCATCCCGCAATCTCTGTAGTCTTCGAAGCTTCCTTGCGGAGGCCCCCGGTGTGTACTCCCGGTAGAATTCAATTCCACACCATTTAACAGCTTCCCACAGGACCACCGCCCCCAGCACCATCAGCATCGTCATGAAAACTTCCATCAACCCCTTATCCACCTCCATTGGCCGGTGTTCTGGTTCCCTGGCTTCCACACCCAGTAATAGCACACAACACACCATTGCCACCAGCATTCTTGTAGCCAACATCGAAGATCTTGCCGGTATTGGTTTAGTCACCGTTGCTCCATCATGCATCAACCACAACTTCAGCAGGTCTTTGATCCTTTGGCCACTTAGCGGCTTTGTAAGCAAGTCCGCCGGCTGAGTTATTCCCGGTTCATGTCGGGGTTGTAGCTCTCCACTAGCCACCATTTCTTGTAGCCACGACGATTTCAACCTCAAATGCCTCGTTCTCCATGATCCCGTTCCTGCTCCAATCGCCAATGCACTTGTGCTGTCACTTGCTATCGCCTTCGAAGAGGGGTTGACCTTAATGTCACACAGCATAGCTTCGATACTCATCATCCCAATTGCACCATCCAAAATGGCCTGCAGCTCCGATTCCGCTGTGCTCAGTGCTATGGCCCCCTGCCTTCCGCTCCTCCAAGCCAGCGGAGTTCCGCACCAGTATATTGCCCATCCTGTTTGTGACCTGTTGCTGGACGGTGCAAACGCCGCGTCCGGGTAGAGGGTGAGGCCTTCCTCGTTATTCTTAATCACCATCTTCATCTCCTTAGTGGCATTGAGGTACCTCAGGACCTTTCTTCCAATCTCCACGCATCTGTGCGGTGCCCTCAAAGTCAACGCTGACATCAAGCTGCACGTGTAGCTCAGGTCGGGCCTTGTTTTCTGACTAACCCACATAAGTTCCCCAGTAATCTTCTGGGAATCTGCCACGGCCTTTTGATCGGGCTCCACGTCGTCCGCCGTTGCTTCGAAGCTTGCCATCTCCTTTCCCAGCGGTATCTTGTCCTTAGCTCCATCCGGGATGCCGTAGGACCGCAGGATTTCCTCGATGTACCCCTTCTGGCTCACATAGATGGTCTCGTTGTCATCACCCATTTCCAACTCCATCCCCAATACTCGTAGCGCGTGGTCCTGATTGAGGATGCCCAACTCCGACGTTTTCCAGACCTTCTGGATCTCCCTCGCCAGTAGGTTGACCACGTCTTCCGGTGCGATTAGGACAATGTCGTCAACGTAGATGATGACCAATGCCTTGATGGTGTCGCGGTCGTCTCTCAATGTCCACCATGCTGTTATCGTTCGACCCCGGTGAAGTCGTAGGTTACCTCCAAACTCCATGTTCCGCAGCACTTTATCTCGGTGGGTCGCCCATAAGGCCGGCGCTTGGCGCAAGCCGTACAAGGCTCTTACCAAGCCCCACAGCTCACCTTCAATGGTGATAAGTAGCCTCTCCAGGAGCTTCGGGGGTGCCACTATAATAACCGGGTCGCCCTCCTCTGGGTTCAAGGGTGTACGTAGGAAGGCGGCAACGATATCAAGCAAGGCCACTGACCACTTCTTCTGTTGAGAGAACACCAACCCCGCTCGTATAGCCTCGGTTGGTGGGGTTTCGGTGTACACTTCGGCGTTGTCATCGGCAGCAAAATTCCCACACACGACAAGACGTGCCTTACGTTTGTACCAAGTGGTTTTGTCGTTGGGGACTGGAGCATCGCCTGGCTTGATTGTGAAAACCATCTTTGTAGGAAGCCGCTGAGCCGCTGGTCTCTGTATCCAAGCTCTTCTCTCCGTAGTACCTGGCAGCAACCTCTGAATTGCCACAGCCACACCATCAACTTCCTTGCGGATCGCGGGTTCCCAAGCACTTAGGTTTGCGAGTACTTCACGAGGATCAACATTGTAGACAACCTCGAGAGGTGCCTTTAGGTCCTCCAGTATAGCTTCCACTCCCTTGGTGTAGCCCGCTTCTACCTTCCTCATTCGTGGAGATGATCCGCATTGTCGCTCCTCCTCGGTTTCCGCGATCTTCACGTAGCCATCCTCCGCCTCAATGTACATCTCCCAATCGTCAACGTCTTCGTCCACTATAGGGTCCACCTTGTCGTAGAACTCCTGCTTGACCGCATTGACTTTGCTAAGTTCACACTCCTCCTGGGACACATTCACGCTGTTTGCATTGTATGATGGGTCCTTCAGGAAGTACTCAGGGAACTGTGTGATTGGTGGTGGGTATCCATGGTCCTCCAACTCGCGTATCATGTCATTGGTCAGTTTCCCCAATCCCTGTGGGGTGTAGGCTATAACAACCGTTCTTGTTCCCTCCCATGGTAGAACTTCATGTCGCCGTCTTGGTGAGAACACATGACACTGACCTTCAACAAGCTGATGGACCTGGCCAAAGTACGCCTTCCCCTTCTCGTCTTGGCGCTGTAGAATTGCACCCCTCACCTCATCACCCTTTGCCAGCTCCACCCACAGCTCACCTCCCTTTGAAGGCATCCGGACTGGCATCACGTAGTTAACTGCCGCCTCGTCGTTGTTGAAGTCCTTATGCATCCCCCTCTCAGAGTTCTTTGCCACCCATATTGCTGTAAAGGTAGCCTCGGGATTCACATGAACGATGATGCGCGACAAGACCTTTGCCAGCCCAGGGTACTCAGCGAAGCCCCGCAGCCAGCCCACTGAACCTCCATGCCTGAAGACTCCGAACTTGATGTCCTCAAAGATCCCCTTCTCAGAGAGCTCGTCCACAAACCGAATCGCCTCCTCCTGGTCCCAGTCTTGTAGAAGACAGTCACACCTCGTTTGTATGTAGTTGACGAGATCCTCCTCCGATAGCTGTAGTCCTTTCATTTCAACGCCGTGGATCGGAGTCTTCACCGGGATCTTTCTTCTCGGCCTCGGGGGGTCTTCGATCTGTAGCTCTTGCTCTGGAACACCTGGGTCTACAAGCCGCGGTCGCACATGAAAGGTGTGGACAAACTTTTCCTTCCGATCTCCGTCGCCCGGCACAAACACCACATGGCCATTGTCCAGCAATCCACTGAGACCAACATACTGTCCCTTTATCCATTTCGTCTCGAAAGCCCTTTCCCTCCTCCTTGGTCCCGAAGAATCAAAGGCCTTCTGCTTTACATGGACAACAGACCCATAAGGTGCCACCAACTTACTTTTCCAACTCAAGACCTTTGCCCTCTGAAGGGCTGTAGCCGCCTCCACCGCTGTAGGCCACAGTCTCGTTGGTAGCTTGGAGCCTATAAGCAACGACCTCGCCATATCCTTGACCCATCGCACTGTACTCTCGGCCTGGCCGTTTCCTTGAGGTATTCCCGGTTCTGACCATGTTGCCCGGATTCCTTGGTCTCGTAGCCAAGCTCGCACGCTATGATTGAACGTCTCCCCCCTGTCAGCGTGGAGTCTAAACACAGGTAGGCCGCGGGACTGTAGGTAGAGGACGACGTCCTGGATCGCCGCCTTGACCACACTCGAGCCGTTCGTTGGTAGGGCCTTTGCGAACAACAAGTAGGTGGACTCCGGTGCTTCGCAATCGGGATGTTGATCCCGGTGCCCTCCGCTACTCCCTTCATCATCTTGATCAGCGACTGGATCAGGCTCCCCATCTGAGAACTCGTACATGGAGTCTTCGTAGTCTTTCCTTTGTTTCCCCGTACCACCAAGGAACCTTGTAGCTTCATCCCATTGACGATCACTGTCCAACTCGTTTTGCACATCGCATAGAGGACTCCCTTCGCCTGGTTCATCTAAAACTATAAACGGATCCCCTTCGTCACGTGGTGGTAGTAGAGAAGGTTCTGGAAGTTCCTTGTCCTCACTTTTATCATTTTCTACACGTCCCCCTTCGTCACGTGGTGGTAGTAGAGAAGGTTCTGCAAGTTCCTGGTCCTCCTCCCCATTCCCTTGAACTTGGTCCATTCCGTGGTTCCGGGGTGGCTCCACTGACGAATAGGCCTTCACGTACTCCTTAGGCATGACATAGCGGGCGACCATCATGTACTTCAAGCTCTTCCCCATTGTCCCCTTCGACGTAACATCCAGCCCTGGCTTCACTGGTCCTGCCAAGTCGATCGTAAGCGCGAACATCTCCGGGTGATGAACTCGAGCATGCCGTCTTCCGGTTCCCCGTGACATAACGCAAGTCAGGCAGTCCCTCCTATAGTCCATGTGATTGGAGTCCACGTGCCTTTTCCACTGCTCTGGTGTAAAGGCCGCCAAACGTGGTGCTTGTTGTGGGTGTCGTATCCAGAAGCGTAGGGACATCACGACTGCTCGGACCAATCCAGGTGACCACTCCGACGTAGAGTTTCCTTCACCCGTTGTCACCACTTGTTCCTCCAATCCCAGACCGTCCAAGCCCATGAGGTAGTAGATGTTGGTTCCCAGCGTAGTTCTCAAGGAGGTCTTCAGGCCCGTTTCCTTCTGATCAAACTTCACCTCCGACATCCCGTACTCGGTTGCAAAGTCCCTCCACATCGCCAGCTCCCACAACGACTTCTTGGAATAAAACCTCTGTCCCTTTTCCTCCTCCGACGCTCCCGTAGGATGTTCGAGCATCAAGGCCACTGGTCGGCCTCTGTCCATCCCCTGGGCCTTCAGGTTCCTTCCAGCATCTGCCATAGCATACAGCCACAGCATTCTTGCCACCAGCTGGGTACCCTTTGCCTCATAGGCTCCATCATCAGCATAGCTTCGGTACAAACCGCCACGGCCTGGGGGTCCTCCAATGATCGCCTCCACCCGTCCATTCATAGCCGCCCATGACACCATTTTCCACGTGGAGTCCTTCAGTAAATCATGGGCTTTGCAACGCTGTACATCCAGCTCCAAGACAACTGTTCCACCATCATCAAGACGGAAAACCTCATGATGTCCAGGCGAGCCCGCATAGAGGTGGATAATCCATCGTTTGGCTCCATAAAGTCTCCGCCGTTGGGACCTGGACAGAAACTCAATCTTCTTGAACGTAGCCCATCCATTGCCTCCCATGCTATCCTGGACCAAACCATCAACACACTCTCCCGGCAACTCGGCTAAGAACGGGGCATCTCGGACCGCACGTAGTCCTGCCTGCATGTTCCCCTCACCGACATACTTGTAGAGCTGCTCCTTCCACGATGATTCCATCACCAGTAGGGATTTATCCAGGGAGTCCTGAGTCAAGGCAGTCGCGTTCTCCAACATCTCCATCTTCCGGTCCTCCAGTCGCGCAATCAGCGCCAACGCCTCGGCCTCCTTGAGATGGGGGCAACCATTGGAAACTCCCAAAGACCTTGCATTGCCGTCACCGTCCTTCAAGAAGCATCCCTTGGGTGACCATTCCAGAGAGTAGCCCAGAACCTTCACCAGCTCGCCGAGTGGCACAATCGTCTGGCCACCCACTGTCGCTGTAGTCGATGACGTTGGTGAAGTTGTCCTTGGTGGCATCAGTAACGAACCTGCCTTTGACAATCTCATCCTCAGTGAACCACCTCCGGCTAAGTGAACATCCACCTCTTCGGCCGCCTTCCACTCACTCTCGTTGTAGGCCGATCGTAGGCTGTGGGTAGCTCCACTGTCCAGGAGGGCGGTCGACCTTTGATCCACCGAAGAAATCCGTATGTCCTTAACCGTGATGGTCCGGACCTCTGCCTTCGTCTTCTCCGGAGATGAATCACCTTCTCCTGGCGCTTGATTTTGGATCACCTGTTGGGCCACTTGCACAAGTGACTCAAGAGTCCATGGAACGCCTTGTATTGTAGCTGATGGCGCCGTAGATGTAGATCCTGCCAGGGAAGTTGCCGGGGATGTAGTAGATACCGTTGAGACTCCCGGGGCTGTAGTTGCCGAGGCACTCCTTTCGTTGAGCTTCGCCGCCTGGCCTCCATTGGGTGCTCCAGGTCGTTGTGGTGGTTTGCCTACAGGGCAATCTCGAGCTCTATGGCTCTCACTGCCGCACTTCAGGCACTTGCGGGCCCTTTGGTCCCGCTCCATCCCTTGCATGGAGTGAGAGTAGACGCACTTGTCCCCCCTCTTGCACCCGTTTGCGCGGGCGAAGTACCTGCACAACTCCTGGCTCTTCTCCTTTGTCTTCTGGGACTTGGGGGACGTAGAAGTCGTTGACACCTCCGCAGCCCTCAGCGATGGAGTTCCCCCTGAGCTCGATGCTTGCTGAGCTCCGGCCAAACTTTCAAGCTCCGCTTGCAAGTGTCTTTGATATCCCTTCACCTGCTCGAGAGTTGGCTGGCAATCCAGCCTCAAGGTACTTCGAAGCATTGATGTTCGGAAGGTCGCATCAGCCGAGCTGCTTATCTGCTTCGTCGTAAGTGCCTGCAACCCCTTTGACATAACAGAGGGGTCCGGCGGGAGCATGCCGATTGATTGGCATCGCGCCAGCCACCTTGGCCATGACCTCACCTCCGCCAGGACAGCCTCGATCGCGTCCACATTCACATTCTCAAACGGAGACTGAAGTCGGCGCAAGATCTCCTGGCGCTCTGCCGAACCCCCAGGCTGATACCATGTGTATAGCCTGAAGACCAAAGCCGGGGCATACTGAGTGATCCGTTGGGCAATCATGTCGGCCTTGAGTTCCGGACCCATTGCTGCCACCAGCATGCTGCATGCTCTCGCGTTGATTCTCGCCCACTCATGCTGGCACAACTGCTCCATTCCTTCCGGTTGCACCGCAAGTCGCTCCATGTGAGATGCCGCTAACCACCTCGCGTAGGCTGCCTCAACAATCAACGTGACTGCCTTCCACCACTGCCCTGACTTCTCGGAAATATCCGTCATCGTTGTAGCCGTGATCTCCATCCAGTCTTGAAACCGAAGCGAAGCCTCTGCTCCTCCCTTGTGATCTGGCAAAGGGGCCAGGGTGTTGCTGCCCGCCTTCAGGTTGTCGGAAGTCGAAGAAGAGGATCCCTTCTGCATCGCCTGTGCTTGAAGCTCCTGTAGCTGCTGGACTCCCCTTGCTATGGCTTCGACAACTGGAGACTCAGCCTGCCCTTGTTGAGCCGTTCCTCCAGGTGGTGGGGATGTCGATCTCGCCCTCGGTAGTATGGACCTGAGAAAGCTTTGTGGCTCTGGTGATGATGGATCCTGTTGTGGTAAATATCGCTCAGCCCCTAGTCTTCTTAAGCCTTCGTGCCATAGAGACCCACCTTGAGGCTGTGGTACTTCAGCACTCGATTGAATTCCAGGACCTTGTGGTAGGACTGCACTCGGCTGGGTTCCGGGACCTTGTGGTAGGAGTGCGTTCTCAAGCCTTTGAGGTAGTTCCGGAATAAGTCCTCTTCCACCTTCGCTCATCGGGTCCGTCTGCAACCCCGGTCCCGTCGGCATATGGATCAGGTTCCCAAACAGTGAGCCCGACCCCAGCTGAGGGACCAGCGTAGGCTCGCGATCCTCCGCTGCATTTCTCGCTCGTAGCTCTTGCACCTCCCTCATCAGGAACGCATTGCGGCTCTCCGACTCGTCCAGCAGTTGCCTAATTCCAGCTGGGCTGTCTCTGCACCTCCTGCTGGATAGCCTCTGCCGGAACCGACGACGACGGTGGTGTAGCCGGCCGAACCGCAGGCCGCACTCGCTGTGGCGACCGAAGAACAAATGTCGGTCCTCCAGGCGGTGAGTTCGGAAGCGGACTCGGAGCCAGAGCGTCCGGTGGAGCCAAATAAGCTCCCAGTCTGGTAACCCATCGGGGCCACCCTTCTTGCACGCTTCTCCCAAGCCAACCCTGTTGGCCTCCACTTGACACCCTTGATCTCGGTGTCATAAAGTCCTGCGGGGCACTCGAACCAGATCCACTCATCACATTTCCAGCATCCAGATGTCGTGTAGGCTCCAGGGTCGTCAGGGCCTGCGCTAGCTCCGCCTGCCCTGGTTCTACATCCTCTCCAGAAGTAGCCGGGTTCAGATGTGTCCGGCCCGCTATCGTAACAGGGAGCGGTCGCGTCTCATCACGAGTTGCCTGCACCGCTACATTCCCTTCTCGCATGCTACCCGCACTTCCACTCTGCAACCCCGAAGTCCTCAACGGGTCCTGCTGCACCTCAGTGTCCAGAGATTGTCCTTCACGGGTTCCTGGAACACCATTTGGTAACGAAGTTTGCCCAGCGGGTTGGGCGCTCATAACCTCATGATGCATATCTCCTGCATCAGCTGCTTCACCTCTTACAGTCTCCATGACATGGGCGGACGAACTGACTCACTCTTTTCCACACAAACACATTGTCAAACGCTCTGAAGTCTATGCACCTAAATTGTACAAGTATGGTGCAATGTTGCCTTCGCTTAAACGATAAAACTCAGTATGTGTCGTTGACTGCTGTACAACTGACTGGCCCAAGGAGGTCTTCTTTTACGTAGCCTTCTCCTGAGAACCATCGCCAACGATCACACTCGCAGACTGACAAGTGCACATCAACAAAACCCTAAACCTTAAGCCCTAAACCCTAAACCTTGATCCCTAAGCCCTAAACCCCAAACCCTATCCCAGGTACCGTGCCAGCACTGCCGGCCCCGCCGGGCGCGAGCGCGAGCATGAGACTTGGAGCCTCTCCAATGGCCGGAACCTGGGTTCTGGAGTACCATACTCGAAAACTTGTTTTTGGTACCTGTTCCATTAAGGAACCAATATGAAATAGAAATATATTTTTTTTGGTACTTGTTCCTTTAAGGAACCAATATGAAATAGAAGTCTATACTTTTTTCCCTGGTTACTTCAACGCCCAGGAACACAAGCCTCCATGGGTGCGAGCGCGAGCATGCGACTTGGAGCCTCTCCGATGGGTGGAACGCAGGCCTCCCTGGGCACCTGCCTTTGGATTCGGGATTAAGGTTCAGGCTTTCGGTTTTCACTAAACCTATCCACCTGTTTTGGGTCTTTACCCTAAACCTTGAACCCTTCCAGCTGTCGGGTGTTGGGCTAGAAGGCTTCATGGTATGTGCGTGTGTTGCTTCTTTCTATGAGGGGGCGAGGGGTGCTTTCGTTCTCTGAGTTAAGTTTATGGCTTAAGGACTTCGGTTCCAGAGTCTTGAGCATCAGAATCTAAAGGTATGCGTCTAGCACTAGGACGGTGCATCTCCGATATAGTCAGTAAGTAGGTGTATCTTCGACGTAGTGATGCGTGCTGGCAGGGTTTCGAAGAGTTCTTGTACGTTTTAGTTTTTAGTGTCGGCTAAGTAGGACGTGACAACTCTTGTCGGCATGAATGTTGTCCTGGAGTGTGGTTTTTGGGGGGTTTAGGGTTCAGTTATCCCTTGTCTGGAGTAGGGTTCGTGCTGTCAGTGCCTTCTTGCGAGGAGGAGCCTACAACCTGTGTAGAACCCTACAGACCTCTAGGATGCGGCTTCATGGTTCAAGTATCGGATGGCAGGCTGCTGGCACGTTCATGTAGGCCTTTCTTACGAAGGTCTTGCAGGGTTCCCTTTCCAGGTTTTTGACGAGAAGAGATGTGATGGCCAGTAGCAGCTTCATTTGACTTGAAAGGATGCTTTTCAGTCATAAGGTGTACCTTTGTCATAGTTGGGTAACATTTTACATCTTTATGGGTACTTAAACCCAATAAGGAATACACATGTACATAATTAATCCTATCCCAACAATGAACTAGGTACCCAGCCCCTGGCTTCCAAAACAATAGCTTCTGACTGGGAGCTCTTGTCCGCCCAGCGACGAAGGGCTGGTCAGCCTTGCTGAAGAGTGCTATAGGGAGCTTCATAGTAAGACTAGGGCTTTGGAGGGTGTATATTGTAGGATAGTCAGACTAAGGGTAGCTATTCTATTCAGACTTTTGCATTATTCACCGCCAAGGTTTTCGAAAAGATTGAGCATATCCCTTCACCGACCAGCATCATGGTCCATCCCCCAACCCTCAACCCTGAAGCTTTGGGCCTGGAGATTGAGTAGTGCCGTTCTGTGGGATTCCTTAACGTAAGTACACGATAGAAGCCCACCAAAACCTTGAGTCTAATTATTTCATGCACCGCGTGTTACCCAAATCCTTTAATCGAAGATCAGAAAGTTTCGACTCCACCAGCTAAGCTCTGAACCCACACAAGCCGCACTGCCCGAAACCATGGCAAACCATAAACCACAAAAAGCGAGACGGTTGGAAACTACATGGGAGTTTCCGAAAGTTAGGGGTACCTTGTTTGGGGTCCCTTATAATTGGGATCCTACTATTTAGGGTACTATATGAGGGTCTCCAATTTTTGGAAACTCCCACATAATAAGACTCTACACCCGACACTGTGCCCAACCTTTGAACTACACCCTAAATCCGAAGCCGTCCAGGCATCTTTCCACCAAGGGAGGGACCCGATGGCAGAGACCGCCGCTTGATTTTCTTTATCTAGTGAAAGTACGGAAGATCCCTCAGCCTTACCTATCACCCAAGAGAACAAGGGTTCCTTATCATGAGACCCTCTGCAATCTCTGGGCTTGTTGGGTTAGAGGTACACCTCAAACCTTAAACTTCAACCCTATCAAGATAAAGATGTTCTGACTGCAGTTGCAGGGTGCGGGGTTTCGACAGGGGTCACTGTAGGTTTGCTTGGAATCAGAAGCTTCGCATGATAGGAACAGAAATATGAAGACCAAGATGACAAACAGTACGAAGCCCGTAACCCCTAGTTTAGGGACTTACGGGGAATTTTTGCGGGAGAGGGGGGATGTCAGTGTGGAATCAAAGTGTCAGTGGGACTAGCTTCTGGGAGATCATAGGTTCGCTTGGTGGCTTGGGGTGTCTGATTCAGGCTTCGGGGTTCAAGTTCTGGTGTTTCGGGGTTCGGTCTTTACTTGTGGTGTCGGGCTTGAGGTGGTTCTAGCTCGACCCGGCGGATCCATTGCCCTGGTCATGTTCTCCAGTCTCCACGTAATTATGTATAATCTGGGGTCTGCAGTCTATAGATACAGCAATACCCATTGTGGGGCTGTAGAAGGCTTGCCATGCTGTAAATTTTAGTGGAGTTCCTTGAGGGAGGTGCAAGGATCGCTTCAGGGCCCCGAGATCACACAGCCCTAAACCCTAAACCCCTCAAACCTATATCTTCACGGGAAGCGGCCCAAAGAGAAGTGACGCCCTTCGAGGCCCTGAGAGTAGCAGCGAATGAAGCAGCATGGACATCTCCTGGATGTTAACCGGAATGAATTCCAATATTACATTATTCCTCGGTCTCCGTTATCATAACGATAGTGTCATATGCCCCAAAACCCTGTTTCAATTTCCGAAGACACGAAGAGAAAGGAGGTCCTTGCGAACGTAGACTCGATTCCGGGGTCAGGATGAAGTTGTCGTATTTATTCTTCATCTTTCGCAACAGGCACTCCCAAATGGAGGCCGGAAACACAGGTTTGGGCAACGAACGTTAATTACTTTGAATCGAGGGTTGAGAACCTTCGGATGTTGGTTGCAGGTGATGTCGCTGTCGCCGGCGCAGACACAGGACGGGGGGAGCCAGGAAAAGCACATCAGGGAGTAGGGCTTGAGAGCTGAGGGTTTGGATACGATGTCGGTCAAAGTTTAGGGGTCAAACTGAGGGTCTAGCAGGAAGGGTTCGTGGTTGAGATCGCATGGCTCTTTTTGCGGGTGTCAAAGCTGGAAGGTATTTGGGCTCTGAGGGACGTGTTGTAGGCTTCGGTGTCTAGGGCAAGGGTGTTGCAGGTCGATATGCCGAAAACCATGCACTCGAAACCAATCTGCCAAAATCTTGGATTCAGGATTCGGGTCAGGTTTCCGGCTGTGGCAGCGAGTAACTCCTTCAAGGAGTCGGGACATGGGCAGTTATCGAACTGAGCGTCAAACCTTTGGGTGCCCAAACTAGCACGGAACCCTCATAAACGAATCCTACAAGGGACCCTAACGTTAGAGGACTACCCATCTGTAAGCGGTCAGGCTGATCTGTTCGATCTGTCCCTGTGTACGGAGACTGCAGGTGGAACTGTCAAAGTTAAATTGCAACAAAGTTAGATTGCAAAAGACCCCGAAACCACAAAATCAGCCTGAATGTCATGGGGTAGGGTTCAGGGTCTCAGCCCCCTCAATTCAAAGGATACCAGCTTCAGTCTGAAAAGCCATGCCACCAGCCCGGTCTGTACCCCAAGCTGACCATCCCCAATCCCAAAAACCCTGAAGCTTGCAAACCCTGAGGCCCTTCTCTTAACGTCCATATGTAAACCTCCAAGAGCCCTAAACTTACCTTTGGTTAGTAGGGAATGGAAGAATGGTAGCAATGGTAGTTATCATTGTACCCTATTCCTCCATTCCCTACTAACGAAAGGGAAGTAAAACCCTGAAGGCTGTACCCTT